TGACTGTAGTACCAAAAAATTTCTACTTGGGACATATTTTCCTTTGTTTTTGTCTTATCTAAACTTTGCATTTTCCCTTTAACCTTCCTTCCTTAATTCACACTTATGGTACCAAACAGCACTCAAACCATATACCCTAATTACCATAAGCTCCCTCCACAAAGCAGCACATATATCCCTTCCTGCTTTCTCAGAAGCACCATGTATATATGACCAGATGCCATATTTATTAACAGCTAGCTGAAGCCAGTTTTTACGACTACAAATAAATCTCTGGGTATGAAGGAAGTACCATCTTAGCTTCTCATACTCTACATGATGGATTCCTATGGGGCTTAGTTCACAGACTCATTAAATAGCCTGGCAGGCAGAGGGGGCAGTATCATAGAATAATGACAAAACCCTTTGGCACTGTTTTCCTATAGTTTATTGTACTGTATTTTGCCACAATGCTCTAAAATATTTATGTTTCAGAAGGGCAAGAAATGTATCAGTTTATTTTTTTAAGAGTTAAGAAATGGTGTGCTTGGGTGGCTTAAGTTGGTTAAACATCTGACTCTTTGTTTCAGCTCAGGTCATGATCTCACAGTCTGAGTTCAAGCCCCACATCTGGCTATGTGCTAGCAGGGAGGAGCCTCCTTGGGATTTCTCTCTCCTTCTCTCTCTGCCCCTCCCCAGCTTGCTCTATCTCAAAAAATGAATATTTAAAAAATATTTTTTTTAATTAAAAAATAAATTTTTTTTTTTAAAAGGGTTAAGAAATTAAATGACTGCCTTACACAGAGAACCAGCATCAATCTTCAGGCCCTTACTCTTGTTTAAAATAAGAAAATAATAACAGCAACACTAAAAAATACCAGCTAAAACAAGAGAAGACCAAAAAACTATAAAAATCAGACACAAAAGCTGTAAAGGTAAAGCAATTTGGAGCCACTTAATATCAGGGTAACAGTCATATCAAGCTTCATAGTCACTCATGACATCTCTTTATAAGAGTATAACTAGCACAGTTAGTATTCAAACTGTCCTTCCTTAGATATTCCTTAAATGCACTAATGCTCAAGTACCTTAGATATAAGATAACTTATACTTTGTCTTGTGTTTTTTTAACCTAATCTCATCCTCACTATGAAATTAACTCTCTCTAAAAGCAAAGGTACATGCTCTTTTGGTTTAGTATACTAGGAGACTGTGACCACAAGTGATAAGAAACTATTTGAATGAATGTTTAATCCATTACCTAAAGACAATGGATATAAATATGTAATGTAATTCTTAGTGACATATAAGATTAGTTACTTACAGATTGATTACTGTGAAACAGGAATATTTTAAACTTACTAGAATATAAACTTTTAAAAAATTATCATTTTGCATATAAATGAATAGATTCAACCCTTGGGTTGAATGTGAATTTTGTAGACTTTTCTAAATTTTCACTACATGAATAATATAAACTCAAGAATACACAATCCTTCACCTTAAATTTTTCATTCTGAAGCCTACAAAAAATATAAAAAATAGGGAATGAATATCTCTATAAACTTTGCCAATATTTATCAAATGTTAACATTATGTCATGCTTGTTCTCTCTCTCCACAGAAAGGCACACATACACTCAGCTGCCAGGTTTCAATGAACCATTTAAAAAATGAGTTAAGAGAGAGAGAAGTTAAGACGGTGGAGAAGTAGGAGGATCCTGGGCTTTACTTGTCCCTCAAACACAGCTGTATTGAGGTCAAATTACTTGGAACATCCAGGAAATTGGTCTGCAGAGTGGCAGAAGGGTCTCCACAGTTTGAGGGAGACACTTGGCAGGTATAAGGTATGTAGATGTGAATTGGGGGAGAGAAAGACAGCAGTGCCACAGAGGGGAGAGAACACTTTCTATGAAGAGACAAAGGGAGAGAAAGAGACAGGGGTTGAGATAGGAGATAGTGTGGCTTCGAGTTAGCAGAAGAGGAAAACCTCTCTGGACCATGGACTGGATGGAGAGCGAGAAATAGGATCCAAGTTCTTTTTTGCAAATAGCCTTTGGAACTGAAACTCTGATGTTTTGCAAGTCCATGACTTTCTCTGGAGAGAAGCTGTGGTTTGTCTTCCTGGGGAGGAGGGAGCTGGCCCCAGAGTGAATAGCATAGTATAGTGATTTCCGATCTCTGGGATGCACTGGGAGAGAATAGTCCCCTTCCTGGACTACTTATGGAAGAGAGTTTATTACCTCCCCAAGACAAAAGACCCTGTAGGTGCCAGCCAAAGGCCTTTCATCAACAGGGCAGAGAGGCTCTACTCCAGAAGAGGGGAACAGATCCACACCATGCTGGGGGTCCTTCAATACTTTGGGATTTGAATCCCAGCCGCATGCCAAAGAAAAAAACCGCACAAGAGTTTTTTGACACAGGGCAAGCTGACTTCCCTCTCTATTCTGTGAAGGCTGCCTGAACAGTGGAGGTTGAAACCCCTGGTCTCAGCATGAGACATTGGGGTGGCACCACATTCCCCTCAACACCAACACAGTGGTACTTCAGAAAACAACACAGCAGCCCCCAGTGGAGGCAGGACCCACTTACACCAAACCCCGCCCTCTGTGCCTGGCAACTGCTTATGTATTAGGGCGAGATGACTCGTAGCCAATGCAGCCGGCCTCTTCTCCAGTCCAGCACAGCCAGCAACCTCAAGCACCCACAGACAACTCTTTTTGTTGTTGTTTTCCTGCTTCTTTTTTTGTTTGAAATCAGGCTCATAGTTCCTCATTTGTTTACTTTGTTTCATTTCCTTCTCTCTCTCTCTCTTTTGGAATCAGGCTTTTGCATTCTTTTCTTTTTTCTCTTCTGCTTTTTTTTTTTTTTTTTCTATTTTTTCTTTCTCTTTACTTGGAATCAGACTTAGTTTTTTGATTCTCTATGTATTTGGGTTTTTTTGTTGTTCCCTTTTCCTTTTTTCTTTTTTTGGGATCAGGCTTCCCCACTCCTTTTTTTATCCAAGGTTACTTCAACAAACAAATCAAAGCACACTTAGTTAAATGTCCAAACACTCCCTCACTGCAGGCAAGGAGTTCTGCAGAGGACTGACCAGTGGGAAAGAGCAGCCAAAACACAACAGAAGAGCACACACAGCATACACCTGAAGTGCCAAGCTTTGGACTGTGTATGACCCCTTTTTAATACAATAGTGTTCTCAGGTGCAGGAAATTTTAACAAACTTTTAAAAAAGAATTACAGAGGGGCACCTGGGTGGCTCATTCGGTTAAGCATCGAACTTCGACTCAGGTTATGATCTTGCTGTTCAGAATTCGAGCCCCGCGTCAGGATCTGTGCTGACAGCTCAGAGCCTGGAGCCTGTTTCAGATTCTATGTCTCCCCCTCTCTCTCTTTCTGCCCCTCCCTGTTCACGATGTCTCTCTCTCTCAAAAATAAACATTAAAAAGTATATATTAAAAAAAAAGAATTATAGATATCCTGGCACTCAATTCCTAAATATTTTATCCCAGTACATATCTGTTAATGAATGAAGAAATCCTCTTAACTGAACATAATACCATTATCACACTTGGGGGTGGGGGGGGCAGAATTCCACAGCAACAGCTATCATCCAAAGATAAAACTATTTTCCTATACACTACTACATAAAACTCTTTTCCAAACTGTTGTCAAGATAAAAAAATACTATCGGGGCACCTGGGTGGCGCAGTCGGTTAAGCGTCCGACTTCAGCCAGGTCACGATCTCGCGGTCCGTGAGTTCGAGCCCCGCGTCGGGCTCTGGGCCGATGGCTCGGAGCCTGGATCCTGTTTCCGATTCTGTGTCTCCCTCTCTCTCTGCCCCTCCCCCATTCATGCTCTGTCTCTCTCTGTCCCAAAAATAAATAAACGTTGAAAAAATAAAAATAAAAAAAAATACTATCAATATAGATATAATAAAAAAGAACAAAACTGTTTAGTTTTTTTAAAAGGGTATTTAATGTAAAGCCATGTTTTATAAAATAAACTAAAATGATTTCTTAAAATTTCATATGAACGTATATTACTTATGTCTTAAACTTAGCCCATTTTTCTTCCCCCATAGTGCTACAATTAGACTGTTTTATGGACATTATAAATATCATTCTCAATACTGTCAAATTTTTACCATTCTTTCAAAAGACTTCCTCTCCTGTATTCAATGCAGCCCAAACTCTTACACAAGGGTGTCTTTGTTTCAAAATACACATTAATGATATTTTAAACATTTTTAACAAGACTTTTTCATGATCAAAATATCCTTATTTTGTTAGTATTTGATTAATTTTTTAGTATATTGCTTCTCTGTATGGACTGAAAAGAAAAACCCAGTTTGTATACAAAATGAAATTATTGTCTCCAAATTGTTTGATACATAGATGACTTAACCACAAGATTAATCTTTTATAGCTTGCTTATTAATCTAGGAATTAAAGGCCAAAAAATGTCTATAACAATAAAGACAATTAGCCTTAAACTGTAATTAACTGGAATGAGAAAAATTAATCAGAAAAAAACTAAAAAGAAACAATGATACAATACTTTGATCATTACAGTAAGGTTTCAACTATTAGGTATCAAAATACTTGATAGTAATCAATTAAAATGCCATGTCATAATATACATATGTCTGGACACATTCACTAAAGGTGTAAAGGGAGGATAAAGTGCCTTGTTTCTTTTTCATTTATTTCCAGAATTGAGTGAAATAATTTTCTCTCCCCTCTTTTTCAGTTAGTGATCTTATCTTTTTAAAAATTTCATAAATTAACTTAATAAATGACATTTAACAGTTACTAGACTTAGAATGTGTTCTTTTCTGAATCAAGAGTTCTGCTTTGTGAGAGTTCATAAACATGTGACAAAAAATTCCAATATTCAAATTTTTAAAAGTCTGTAAGTATATTTTTACAATAAAAAAAATTAAGCTGCATTGTATGTTAAAAAGTTTGAGATCCATTCAACAAACATCAATTGGTAATAGAGATGAAGATTTTACTTACATTTGTAATAGCTATTGCATTTTTATCGTAGTATTTCTTCTTTTCATATTTATCTCTGATGAAAAATTCCACTGCTCTGAAAACAGATAACTTAAGGAAAAGCATGAGTTCAGTGGCACGTACAATCCCCTTATTCATTCCTTTCCACAAAGCCTACACACTAAATTCAATTTTCCTCCTCCCCAGTCCATGCCTTCCTCTCACACTGTTTCTGCAACTAAACTCTGTAACCTACTTTTCTTTCTGCCAACCAAAGTCTATCCCTTTCAGGAAGTTTTCTCCATTCAACAAAACCACCCAACCCAATTCTAGGGAAAAAAGTAACTACATTTCTCAATACCACCACACTCCCCAAACCTCCACCTTCAACCAAACTCAATTAAAGTTCATTTTAAACTCTCAGTATAAGGAAACTAATAGCCATGTGGTGCCCATAACCTACCAGACACTGTGCTATGTATTGTCCCTACTTTGTTTCCTTCAATCCTTCCATAAGCCAGTCATGTGTACATTATTTCTGCATCACCGATGAATAATTAGCAACTGGGAAAAACTAAACAACTGTGATTTCAATACTTCTGTTCTTTCCCACAGGCTTCTCCTAGTTGCATTATAGAGGATTCCCTGTATATTAGAAGAATGGGGGCCATTTTTTTTCTTTCAAAGCTGAGGAATGGGGAAGTCAAGAAACTACAACCAAAGTTAGTACTGTTTAATTTTCTGAAGTTGGCTGGACTAGCCTTATACATAGAGTGATCCACTTCTAGTGGGATTTGAGAGTTTTGAGTTATCTGATATTGATGACTTCTCTTACCTCTCAATCACTGCTTTACTGAATTTCACTAAAATGGGAATTCTTCCATCAGACAGAGATTCATAACCTTTTTAGTACCACGAACCCCTATGGTCGTCAGGCAAAGCCTGCGAACTCTTTCTGGGACGGTGCTTTTAATTGTATAAAATAAAATACACAGAATTACAAAGGAAATGAATTACACTGAAATACAATCTCTCTGTAGATCCCCAGTAAGACATCCTTCTATTCAAAAGATAAGTTACCTGAAGCAGTAAAACAATACATTTTCAGTCAATAACTCCTTATTTGAAGTTAATAAACGCCTTTTAAATTGACAGTTGAGGCAACAGATAATAGATGACAGACCAATATACAGTGGATATTAAAAAGTTGAGGCATTATGAAAGCACTCAAAGAGGGCCAGGGAAGGCAAGACAGGAGATCTAAACATTTAATTTATTAAGTAAACTGAATGACTGAAAGCCATTTTTAAAGACAGTTTGTGAAGGGCACTTTATGTGATCTTTATCTCTGCTTCTCCTCTTCGCAACCTGTAAGGTAGGTGCCATTCCACAACTACAAGTGTGGCGTAGAAAGTTTAAAAAGTTCTCTGGGATTCTTATAGTACAAGAGAGAGCTGTGATTCAAAACCAGGAATATCTGGCATTTACCTTTCAGAATGTTCCTGATCATTACCAGTTCATCTGTGAACCATTCAGTTAGTTTGTGTTAATGCTAATAAATACTTTTAAAATCTAGAGACTGTCAAATTTGGATGGTATTTTCTTTTAAACTTTTTTTATGTTTACTTATTTTTGAGAGAGAGGGAGAGACAGAGCGTGAGCAGGGGAGCAGCAGAGAGAGAGGCAGACACAGAATCCAAAACAGGCTCCAGGCTCTGAGCTGAGAGCACAGAGCTCGATGCGGGGCTCGAACTCACGAACTGTGAGATCATGACCTGAGCCGAGGACGCTCAGCCGACTGAGTCACCCAGGTGCCCTGATGGTATTTTCAAAGTAGCCTGGGAGACCCTTTTAAGTAAAAGATGTGATCGGGCTGCTTATTTAGCTATGTGAAAATTTTAGCAGCCAATATGCCAAGATTTTCATAAAATGCAATGTTATTTTACTCCAACTATTTCACATGTAAGTCAGCTAAATGTTAAGTTAGCTCATGACTGTAAATACAAGTTCAATATTACATTTTTCTGTTTATCTAACAGGAAAAAATGAAACAATCAAAAATCTGGCCCTTTGGATTAGGTGTATGAATGTGGATATACTGAGCAATTTTCACTGTTAGTGACAACTACTTACCTCCACAAAAAGAGAAAATAGACTTCACTTAGACTGAGGTCATTTTCATTTCAGATGATATGGAATATATTTATTATTCATATATATATTTATAAATTTGTATAAATATTTTAGCAGCAATTATATTTACAGTTAAATATGTATTATATAGCATACAATACAGTATATATATCCAGCTATTCTTTTAACTACAGAAAATTTTTAGAAATCTAAATTCTTATATTAAAATGTTTATATTTAAATATCAGAGAGGAGGATAATACTAATATTTTTCCTTCTTAAAGACAGAAACAACACTCATTTTAGATATTGTTTAGAGTATACTAACTTAAAGCTTGAAAAGATTTAGTACTCTTATCTATGAAATGTCAGTGACAAAGATCACTGTTTATGATTTTAAAAATTACTATTAGAGAGAAAACTCATTAAGGTTAGAAACAGAGCTTATAAAATAGTTTAACCAACAGTAAAACTAAAATACTGAAAACTATGATGGTTTTATAAATACTAAATTTGAAAAAGACAAATATTTTAAGTTTACAATTTTTTGGAGTGAAAAACAATACAAACATCTAGTGAAAATACATGTTGCTGTAAATTTGCAGAAATAACAGATATCAGTGAAATCTTAATTTATATTTAATATATTTTATATAAATAATGCAAACTTAGGTGAATCTGGTTCTGCTTATAAGAAACCTTCTCACAAATTATCTAAAAAGTAAGCAATTCCTAAAATTCTGAGATGAAAGTTGAGTTGTTTTCCAAGGATATTAAGATTAAATTAATTAAGTTAAAATAATCACTAGAGCAGAAGAACTCACTTGGGTCTTCCTATTATTAAATACTACTTTCTTTTAACATTTATTTATTTTTGAGAGAGAGACAGACAGAGTATGAGCAGGGGAGGGGCAGAGAGATGGAGACATGGAATCTGAAGCAGGTTCCAAGCTCTGAGCTGTCAGCACAGAGCCCAACGCAGGGCTCGAACCCATAAACCACGAGATCATGACCTGAGCTGAAGTTGGATACTCAACCAGGCACCCCTTAAATATTACTTTTCAGAAACCAATCAAAGCCCACCACAAAGTGCATTTTTTAACTTCCTTGGGAGTCATCTGAGAAAGGACCATGATTTAAGAAACATGATTTTTATGTCCTCAGTTGCTATCCATTCCTATGTACCTCTTAAAGCAAGAACATATCATAGGGTCTTTATGTATATTTGTACAAGGTCCCAAATGTATGCCAATTCTTCATTGTTAATTCACCTAAAGAAACAATGATTTATTCCCAGGATCAGCAAACTTTTTCTTAGAGGGCCAGACAGTAAATATTTTAGGCTTTGAAGGATAGTTGGTCTATGCTCCAATTATTCAACTCTGCCTTTGTAGCTCCAAAGCAGCCTTGAAAATACATAGATTAATGGGCATGAGAATAAAACTTTACTTACAGAAAGAGGAGTTGGCTCATAAGCCTGCAGTTACTGATTCCTGAATTGTATCCCAATTTTGCCCATGAGGGCAAAACAAGTTGGAGTTATAGAGAGTCTCTGTGTCTACAAATTATCATTACAGACATCTTAAGGAATTTTCAGTGGACATTTTGACAATAGTTTTGCCTTATATGTGGACTCTAGTACTAAGGCTCAAAGAAGATGGTCTCCAACATACACCCTCATTTCTGGTACCAGTAGGCACTTGTTATTGTTACCTTGAAGTCAGCTAATCTGCTGAACCCATACCTAGGTATAATAAAAAAAAAAAAAAAAAAAAACAGATAATAATACTCAACTCACAAAGTTGTTGAGAGTTATGGGAATAATATATATAAAGCATTTTGCAGCACCTAAAAGACAGTAAGAATTCAATAAATGAAGTTAGGTTTTGTTGTTATATAACTTTGTATCTCAGTTTCCTCACCTTTAAACTGGAGATAACACTAAAGTCTCATCTCACAGGATTATTATAAGAATTAAACAAGCTAGTGTGTATAGAGAACTAAGCACAGTGTATGGCACATAGTGAGTGCTATTTAATTTTTAGCTCTTATTATCACAGTTGAGGAAGAAATGAACAACAACTACCACGTTCAGGGCTAAGATGATTTGCACGTCATCAAGTTTAAATAGATGAACTGAGAAACAATAAAAGGACAAATGAATTTGGAGAACAATCAATACTCATCTTCATTTTCTATTCTCTACGTGTCATTTGAGACATAAGGATTTAGTTATACTGACAGATCAATAATATAACCAAAAAAAAATAGAAATAGAACAACAATATTTTCAGGAAATCAGGGAAAGGAATATATTAACAATTCAAGTTTAAGTGGTTGACTTCGGATTTAATAAACAAACAAAAACAAATACCCCAGAGTCTTCCCCATGCCTATAGTTACAAAACATTCAGTACAGCACCCTTAATTGTTCCTGTCCTCGAAACTAACAAATGATACTATACAAGCCCCACAGAAGTTTAACATTACTTTGTATTTTAACATGTATTTATTTGTAATTTGAGATTGTTTTCCTTTTCTTAAAGATACCATTTTAAAAGACAAATTAATATTTACTCCCAAGAACAAAATCTTCCAATTCCAGACACATTCCCACTGACAGCAGTAAAATCTTGAAATGCTCAAAGGAGAAGAACTGCTGATTAGCTTTGGTGCACAATAGACCTCATGGAACTGAAGTAATTAAAGTTTTTAGATAAGATGAAATATCCTAATAATGAAAAGCTTAATGTAAAGCTTTATCATTTGTCATGCACTGGTACATGCAGCCTATAATTAACCACATCCCACATGAGAAATTGTACTTTCACAGCAGCTTTTGCATAACTTTGTAAATTGTAAAGCTTTTAAAAAGTGACAAAGTTTGTTAAGAATTCAGTAAGGCCCATATTATGTGAGTTTTACTCAGTTTGGTTCCATTTGCCTCTAGGGGTAAGGCAACAATGTTTAAATCAATAAAAATGCAGCAATTTTAGGCTTTTCTAAGAACAATGAAATTTAGAATGATTCGTGAAATAAAGAACAGGGACTAGTTTTGTTACTAGTATCCCTAATAAAATCACAATGTTTCATAATTTAAAAAAGGGAATAAAGTGATGTTGCTATAATATTTAAGGTAAAAACAATTTTAAGGCCACAGTATTATATTGGATATAGGGACTGGTCTCATGGCCCAGGGCATGTCATCTTAAACTCGTAGTGGTCATCTTTGTGTCATCAAATCTGTTTCGACAAAATCCCTCTTTAAGTAGTTTCTGACACCATTAGATTATCTTTTTGTGAACAGTAAGTCAACACCTCATATAAATATGACCATAATTTTTAAATGCTTTAGAAGAAGTAAATTTAGTTTGAAAAATCATATAAGCATGCTTGAGCACACGTTAGCAAAAATATACATAATCCAAAAGCCCGAAATGAATCACACCAGCTACTTAGAAGTTAAAATCTATTATCTAAATCTTATGATCTAGCTGCAAAGAGTCCCAAACCATAAGCCTATCTATTGTTGAAGGCCATCAAGACTCAAAAGTGGCAACACTGATTTTACTTAGACTATCATCATTTAAAAATATTCAAGTGCCCGTCTACAGGAGGAAAAGTCTGGAAGCTTTGAGAAATTTCTTAATAACTCTTTGAGCATCCCACCTTTCCACACCCTCAAAAAGGAAAATACTATGCTCTAGTTCACTGAGTTATTTTCAGAATTAAAAAAAAGATAATGTACATAAAATGCCAAGCTAGTGCCTAGCACACCGCTAACATTTTTTAAGCAGTAAAGCTACATCAGCTGCTGTTCACAACATTGTATCTTCAGTGTGTCAAAGGTCGAGGATGTAATGATACCAAACATCAATCAATTCACTGTAAAAATCTTATCTCTCCTGAAATTTTTAGGTAAGTACCAAACATTTAAAAATATATCAGCAAAAATAATAACAGAATTAATAACTCACTACCTCATTAATCCTTTATTTCTATAAGGTTCATCATAAAATTGATGGTAATTATTTGAGAAGAAATAGTATTGCTACCAACATATATGAAACAGTGGATAGAACATTTCAATGTGAGGTGTGCCTGGGTGGCTCAGGAGTTGGCATCCAACTCTTGATTTTGGTTCAAGTCACGATGTCACAGTGCGTGAGAATGAGCCCCACACTGGGTTCTGCACATCTCTCTCCTCTCTTTCTGCCCCTACCCTCCTCTCTCTCACTCTCAAAATAAATTAATTAAAAAAAAAAACAGTTCAATGTAAGAGAATACCAAAAAACTACATCCAGTCCTTTCTGAAATACCTTCAAGACTTCTTTGAAAACAATACAGAATCATGATGATATATTAAATAACTTGGAAGCCACTTTCACCCACAAGATACCAAATAAAGGATACTATCAAAAACTTCAAGAACTTCAAGAATTTACCCTGTAATCTTCAAGAGAAGTCCAAAAAAACCAACTCAAACCAAACTGACCCCAACACACACACAAACAAACTTCCACAGAAAGAAAATTCTTCCATTTGAGCGTCAACTCAGCCTGTGGGGTGAGAACCAAAGAGAAGAGAAATAAATACAACTAGCAAGCAACTGGTAAAAACCCAGGACATTACTTCTTTGCTCTACTCTATTTCCTTCTGCCATGCTCTATTCCAGGGTTCTGCCCTAGGCCTCCATTTTTCAGAGGAGAAAGAAAACAGCATTCCCAAGATTTTTAATAAAACACACAAAAAAGAATATAGGACCACTGCCCTGGGTAAACACAACTTCACTCAACACTTTCGTATTACCTACATGCTAAATTACTCTATAATCTGCACTGAATTTCCTGCTTTCTTCTAAGGTCCAGACCCATGTTTCCAGCTACTAAATGGGGATCTCCATGTATATGTCCAACAGACACCTCAACCTGTCCAAAGCCATGAAGCATGGCTTATCACCTTTCCTTTCTGACCCTTCAACCTTCATCTGGTACTGAATACTTTCTGTCTGGGAATATGTTTTACTTCACCATAGAACCTCAGGCAAGCTTTAATATCTGGGGTCATCCCAGTATCTTCTTCAGAAACAGAGCCAGTTTTCATCTAATCCAATTGCTCCTGCTTTCCCAATTTCTTTGCAATCTTCCCAATTCCTTCTTGTCCATTCTTAATGCACTAATTTATAACTTCATCATTGCTCATTTCAAGGCTATACTAGTATTATTCTACATGGTCTCTCTGATCTCCAGGATCTGACAGTACAGAGCCTACTTGGAATTCTCTCCCTCTCTGCCCTCTCCCCAACTCATGCGTGCACACTCTTTCTCTCTTTCAAAATACGTAACAAAATATTTTAAATAAATAAATAAATTAATTAATTAATTAAAGAAATAACATCATGGTAAAGTTCACAACTTTCTAAATACAGTTAAAATATGAAGTATAAAAATCAGTTAATTTTTTTTTAAACCCACAATAAATAAAGTTTAAAGGATACTGATCTGTCTGTGGTCTTCGAAAATTCTCTGGAAGATTGGCTTCATAGAGTAGTCTTGCTTTAGTATTTCCCATATCTTGCATGCACTAAAATAAAAAGAAAAATCAAGTATTTTCATTACTCATATAAAAAAAAGTAATTCCCATATACACATACATATACATACCTACACACATATATACAAACAAATACCAGGTAACATTTATTATTTGCAAGATATATTTTCTAAGGAAAATAATTTAAATCACAACTATGAAATTACTAAAGTTCAAAGTATATGTTTAATTCCTCACATTTACTCAACTTATGTGGACCCATAGTTTTCTAATGTCTTTTTCTGTGAAAATAATACCATCTTCCTAAAAGTAATTTCCTGGTAGTTCATGGGCAGTTTTATTATTGTTTTAAATACACCACTTGAACAATACTGCCATTTCCAACGGTAACAGCTCAAGACCAAATTTTCTTTGTTTTGAGTTTCAAAATACTCCTGGGTTTTCATGATTTACAATCAAAATCACAATGGAGAGTAGATAAAAAAGAAATAGTGCTAACCTAAAACTCTAAAGAGGGTTTATTTCCTTGGGGTTAAACTCTTTAAGATTCTGCTGAAAGCTATGGATCCCCTCCCTACAAAAAACCTGCACGTGATGGCCCAAAGTCTCCCTAAAATCTACAAGCCCCAAAAATAAGAACTACTCAGGAGGCATAAAATAATCTGACAATCACTTCAACCAGTTTAACTAAGTTTCAGTATCTTCTGTGAGTAAGGATTAGCCAAACAATACTTCCTGGACATTCTATTACATTAGAAACTAAATTAACATTTACAAACAAAATACTATTCTATTACTATTTTACATCATTTACATAGAGCTTGGGTTCCTTAAAATGTTTTAATTGGTAGAAAGATCAGTTTGTATAATCCCTTCTTTTTCCTTCTGATCTCCTAGACACACTCCACAGCTCCAAGAAGACAGCCAGGTCTAACAGATTTCCAGACATCGACCTTGAGTTGTAGCCCTCAAGTGGACACAGAACCATCTTCCTTCAAATAAAAAAAATACAGTGACTTTTTTATCCCAACTGAGTTGTAAGGTATGCAAAATACTAATATACACTCATTTCTGGATACCTATCCCACCCACCTCAACATACTCTCTCAGAGTAAACAAGATAATAAGAGAGATCATAAGAAAGTGAAGTAATTAATAGGGGGCTGGGAAATATAATGGATAGAAAAACTGAAAAAGAAATGAGGTTTTTTTTACATAGCTAAGACAAAATAAAACCAAAGGTATATAAGGTAAGGGGGAAAACTGTGTAAAGTGAACTGACAGTACAAGGTCAGAGGCTCTATTACATCATGACATATACTAGCATGAATATGAGGAGAGCTAACATGTAAATTCTGTGTGTGGGGAGAAAAGCTTAGAAACTTTTCGTATAGCTCTCTCTTCTTGAAAGAAAAAATGTTTGCCCTCTCAAGTATTCAAATGATGTTTCATCTTTGTGTCATGGTGGGAATTTATTAAGTAAAGGTGATCCAAGTTATGTAATCATAAAAGCATTAAACATTTAGGAAGAACTAAAGCAAGAAAAATTGTCTCATACTTTTCACAATATCTGCAATAAAGCAAAAAGTAACTCACAGAAACTATAAAAGTAAGAAAATTTAAAAGTTTCCATCAAGCAAACAAGAATACATGGAAATTCTAACAAAAAATTTAGTAAGATTAAAAACAGTATCTACTATATATGTCGTATCTCATTGATCCTAAGTTACATTTTTCTTCATATTTCAACATTAATGAAATGAAATACATCTTAAAACTGATGGTATCTTGTAAATTATAGTTTTTTCTTATTAGTCCATAAAACAGAGATGCTTTTTATAGAAATATCTTACTTTCAATGAATATGATTGTACACATTTTATATAAAATATTCTCTTTATTTAATGTAGGTTATTAAAATTTTGACAAAATAAAAAGTAATTAGGAACAAGGTGTATATATATGTATATTACACCAAATTATTTAATGTTGTTCTAGGGATGCAGGTGAGAAAAAACAAGGTATAAAAATCTGAAAAGGACAAGTAATGTGAAATAATGAGCCATTTCTATAGAAGACCACGGCCAAAAGTGTGAAAGGGTACAGGTGCATGTGGTGTATATGTTAGTTGGGATTAGAAGAAACAAGGATTCAATGACGTCACAGATGTAGAAAGATCATTTTGTAAGATGATATTAGTGGCTCAGATAGTTTCTAGGTTTCTAAAAAGTAGAACAGAGTAGTGAGAAAGGAAGGTCAGCAACAAAAGGATCAGTGAAAATGAAAAGGTTAAGCAATTTGGAGATGGTTAAAGCAAGGGGAAAAAAACAACAGGAGCTGGCATTGGGGGAGTTGATAGGAATATGGTACAAACTAGCTGTCTTCAGTTTCAAAACACTACATTTAAGGGCCATATAGAGCACTTATGAAAATTTATTCTATTGGTCCTACAGAGCAAACTGTGTCTAGTAATCAGAAGAAAATAATGAAAATAGCCTAACAACTACAATAACGAGCTTTAGCCTCAATACTTTATTTTTATACATAAATTATATATATTACTATAAATTGCATATATATTATAGAAATTGCATATATATACATATATACGCCATTTTAAATTTCAAAAAACCCTGATTTAGACATTATTACCCTACTTTGGCAGGAAAGGAAACAGAAGTGGCAAGATGTTAAGTAACAGACCCAAGATTATTAGTCGCCACGAGTATTCAACTCCTGATAGAAACATCAGCCATCAGTAGTAGTTTTGATATCTCAGGCTATATCCAATGGAACTGGGGACTACATCCTGCAAGACTTACAAACACCAAGCTCTTTGCTTTAGAGCTCAGTTTTCATTTTACAGATAAAGAAACTGAGGCACAAAGAGGTTATATGATTTCTCTACTGAGTAATACAATGAATCAGTTACAAGGCTGAAAATCCTTACCACCAGGCACCAGCTAATCGAAATAAGTGTCCAGGAAATTTCACCACAAGATAGAAAAATACTTTAGGTATTGCCTCCATTATTAAAACATCATTCCTGTTATTAAAATATTACTGCTTTTCTTTTGGGTTCTCTCAACCAAAAAGCTTTAGCAAAATGTACTGGTAGAAAGCAAAATTTTAGTTGCTTATTCTTTGGCAATTTATGATTCAGTATCCCAGAGCTCAAATGAGTGGACTGGTTGCAAAAAAGGGGAAAGGAGGGATGATAAAGGGCATACACTTCTTTAAAAAAAAATAAATAATAATAATAATATTTTATTATTTAACTACAATGAGAATTAAGTTATGGTTAATGAACTAGCTACCTTAACTTCTACCATGTAGTTTCCAATCAAGCCAGATCTAATACTATACACCATCCTGAAAAACTGAAACTTCCAAACTTACTTTCACTTCTCCAAAAGGAGGAATACTTGTAAGGATGTCAAATAGACCATTAAAAAATTTTAAATTTACCAAATTTGAAAATTCTTTGGCTTTACAGAAAGCATGTAATTCTGTCATTCCTTCTCTCTCTCTCGCACATTTCAAACATGAAAAATGGAAGAAGAGGACTCTTAATTATTTAAATCAAATTTTCTACAAGTTTGGTTAAAAAAAGTTTTTTGAGAGAGAGAGGGAGCAAGTGAGCGAGGGGCAGAGAGAGGGAGAGAGAAAGAGGGAGGGAGGGAGGAAGGGAGGGAAAGAGAGAGGGAGAGAAGGAGAAGGAGGGGGGGAGAAGGGGGAGAGAGAGAGAGAGAGAGAGAGAGAAAGACAGAGAGAGAGAGAGAGAGGAAAGGGGGAAGAGAGAGAGAAAAGGGGGGAGAGAGAGAGGAAAGGGGGGAGAGAGAGGTGGGGGAAAGGGAGGACAGAGACAGAAACAGAGACAGAGAGAAGTGAGGCTCACCCGGGGCTCACGTTTTATCCAAAGCAGGGCTCAAGCTCACCAGAAGCGGGGCTCTGCTCACCTGATGTGGGACTCAAACCCATGAACTGTGAGATCATGACCTGAGCTGATGTCAGATGCTTAACAACTGAGCCACTCAGGTGCCTTAAAAATATTTTTAAGTAGGTATTTACTTAATAAACCATTTTTTGCCTCAAAATTGATTTTTAAAAAAGTCAAATATCCAAGGGGCAGAAAATATACTGAAATTATTGACAAAGAAATGATTATAAGAATATATTAAATAAAAAGTCAATATGCATTATTACTTTTAAAAATATATATATTGAAGAGTAAGTTAAATGTGTTTTTCAGTTATAATAAACGCCATTTAGGTAGTATATATTTAAAAATTAATGTTATTTCCTATTCATTTGAAATTCAATATGTCCTCATTTTATACACTGTATGTTTCTAGAAAGATGAATTTTATATTGTACTTTTTGCTTAAATAATCTTCATTCAAAATCACTACCATTATCATTGCAAAGGAAGGTTTCACCTGAAAATAGTATAATAAATCCCACATAAGAATCTCAGGGGCTCCTGGGTGGCTCAGTTGGTTAAGCGTCCAACTCTTGATTTCAGCTCAGGTCATGATCTTAACAGTTCACGAGTTCAAACCCCGCATCAGGCTCCGCACTTACAGTGCAGAGCCTGGTTGCGATTCTCTTTCCCTCTCTCTCTGTCCCTCCCCCCCCTAAAATAAATAAACTTAAAACTCAAAACCTACTGTTAAAAGTATTTTGTCTTTGTCAATCCATAATCTTTGTTTTCAGTTTCTCCATATAAGCCAATACAAAGAACACCACCTACCCAAAGACTCACAAGTTATCTGAGATTCAATTTCAAAAATTACTGTTTGAACTGGAATGCTGAAAAACATCTACAGGCTAACATACTTCTTCACAATCTAACATAGATAAAATATTTCTATTTCTGAAACTTTCTAAGTAGAAAACATTTCACCCAATCCTAGTTTTTGCACTAAAAACAATAAAAATCTATATTCCAAAGAGTTCTAAGTTTTTTAATGTTTTACAGAGACTGAAGTAAACTGAGGTTGTCAATTTAAAGTTTAAATTGGCATTTA